AAAGACTCTGGAAAAGTAAGGCAGACATAAGCTTAAACGCTTCAACTTCATTTTTAAAAGTTTACTCTTCTTTTTAAGCTGTTCTTCTGTTTTCTTGGTTAAACAAGGTTTCTTTGTGATGGTTGAGTATCTGTACTTTTCATGTGAAATCTGTGTCTCTCATGTATTTGATCATTTTGATGCTGGTATATTTATCAGGCTTTCTGCTGATGGAAATTCTCTTGGTGGTAAATTTAGTGGAGCATGACCCCCCGCACTTTACCATGCATATATCGGAATGACAGTATATATATGGACACAGATTTTTAGTGAATATCGATTAATAAGAGGATTGTGGAGATATTTGAGGGAAAGGAAGGCTGCTGGCTACTTCATCAAACTTCTACTTGCTGCAACTGTGTCAGTTGTCATTGTCGAATTATTGGTATGTGTAATTGGATGGTCTTAAAGGTTTTTTTTTTTCTGAACTTTAGTGTAAGTCACTTTTCTTGCCCTTGCTTGAAGTTTCCATTGATTAGTTTTCCTATGTTTTTTGGTTTACATGACACAGATGCGTTGAGAATGAAAATCATCTTGAATAAGGCTTCACTCCCACTGAATTCAATGGAACTAAAAGAGTAGAACTTATGTTGAACAGAAAATAAGCATCTTTTCTCTCTAGCATCAATCAACGTCTAGTTGTGAAATGGTCAATGTTTCATGGTTGTACCATCTCTTGGTTGCAGAGTTATAATAAGTGAAGCTATCATCATAGTAATAAGCCTTGCTACAAAGTGGCTAGACACACACGCAGAAGGGAACAAATTTTGGCATGAAAGCATGTGTTCCATGCTATATTGCATACAGGTATAAAACCATTTCTACTGTGTTTGCAGGTTCTTTGTGTATAAGTTCTGGGTGATATTAACCGTCTGCTGTCTTTGCAGGTTCGTCAATTGTTCTTCCGTTGTTTTCAGGAAATGGCATTCTTTTTTGTTCTCTGATTGCCTTGAGGGTTCAATATTTCTTGGGTTTGCGCCTCCATTCCTTTACAAGACTTGGTTTATAAATTTAGAGTTCACTGATGGATTATTGTTCTGTTCTCATGTTTCCGGAGTTTTTTTTTTGTTTGCAGACATTACAGTGGTCTTGGCGTCGTACTCATGGCATGGATATTGTTTGAGAACACTTGTCATCATTCATAGGAAAAGATTTCTCTCTATCAGAACAAAAGAGAGAGGAACATGTAACTATCAGAAGTGAACTATCAAAACACTTGTCATCATTGTAACATATAAAAGATTTATTATCTCTAACAGAACAAAAGACAGAGGAACATGTAACAATCAGAAGTGAATTATCAAAAATCTTCTCATCATTCTAACATACGAAAAGATTTATCTCTATGTAAACTATCAGAAGTCAACTATCAAAACGGAGCAACTAGTCAAGAAGTGCAAGAAAGCTTCGAATGTCTTTTTTGCATTGCGTTTTATCGATCGTTTCCGGAGGCATCTCATCAACGACTAATGATTGTTGCTGCTTCCACGACATCTGTACGTAGTTCTTAGTTGAAAGAGATGCTAATCCGACCAATACTACTATCCACATTGGGATGGCCTTTTGGGCCATCATCAGACCGAATCCCGCAAACAAAAACCCTTCGCACAATGCCACCGTGTCTTCAACATGATATCGTGCCTCAATTGTCAAGAGATAAATCAGGAAGGCCAAAGAAAAATTCATCAATTTCATATCTTCCCTGAAATTCATTGACTCGCCAATCCACTGAGATAAGTAATTGCATGCAAAAGACAGACCGGATTTCAGCAACGCTTGATAAAATAACTTCATTCTTCCTTCCCATTGGATGAGAGGTGGGAACTTAAGCATTAGTATCCAAGTCATGAGGAAGAAAACAGAACTGAACCCTTGCTGTGTTCGTGTTAGATTCCACAAGTACGAAGAGGCATAGAAGAATTGGGTAGCGAAGGCCAAAGAAATATACCCGAGGGATCGAGAATAATGAAGAATTTTTATAAAGACAGGATCTGCTATTGGACCTTTGGATTTAACGTCTACTGATCTCTTGGAGTAACACATCTGAATGTAGTTTTTGCTAGTCAGTGATACCGGACCAACTATGACTACAAGCCACGATGGGATTACGTTTTGGTTTATCATCAAGCCATAGCCGGCAAACAGAAATCCGTCGCAAATTGCCAACTCTTCTTCGAAGTGGAAACGCGCTTCAGTCGTCAAAAGATACATCAAATACCATACCGAACTTGTCGCCATGTTAAAATCCTCGTGTAGTGTCATAGCCTTCCCAACCCAATCAAAGAAGAGATAAGAACCAAAAGCCATAACTGATTTCAACAAAGCGTGATAACCCAAACCCAAATCTTTCAGCGATTCTTCCAAATTGATGGGAAGTGGAAGTAAGAACATAGTGTTTAAGAAGAAGAAAACGCATGTCAGAAACTGTTGGAGTTCGGTCAACGTCGAGAACAAGGGAGAAGCAAAGAAAAAGTATATGGCAAGTTGCAAAGCAATGCAACTGTAAGCTTGTGCGTTTAAAGAAGACGACAAGATCCTCTTGAAATTGTCACAGGTTTTGCAGATATACTTGTACGTTTCTTGCATCCAACCGGAAGCCATATCTCCGTTAGGTTTAAGAACGTTGGACCATGCCGGAAGCAAAGAAGCCGTTGTTATAATGACGATCTTAACCCAGTTCATGGTTGAAGAGATTGATGATTCGTGAGGAAAACGAGAGAAAACTTGACGATTCGTGAGAGAAAAGGAAAAACAAAATTCTGATGATTCGTTTCGTGAGAGAAAAGGCAGAGAAAATATGATGATGAAACCCTAAAAAAAAATCTCTCGTACTTATAGAGGGTATTTAAGTATAATCGTTATATCTTTTTAAAAACCTAAATCGTGAACTAAATTAAACTTTATCTTGAATCCTAAGTCAGTTAGGTTTTGGGGTTTTGCATCAGTCAGTTAGGTTTTCTGTTTTTGCAATTGAAGAAGAAAACGTATATTTTTTTTCAGCATGTAAATTATTGTATAGTTCAATAAAGTAATAAATGTTTTATTTGGAGAATATTTTAACAATTCTCAAATAACACGAGAAGTGGCTCTTGACTCACTAGTAAGTAACTTTCAACCTCTGTTTTTTTTTCAATTAGATTTCTAATCTTTTTTTTTTTAAAACAGAACACATATATTGTAAAATAGTTTTGTTTGAATAAAATTGTACATTTATGCCAAAAAAGAAAGAAAGAATTCATTAATCTGAAATTAAAAACATGAAAAAAAAAACCATGAGATGACTTAAAGTCTTAAACTACCAAAACAAAAAAATGATTCCATTAATTTATTGTAAAGAAAATGCAATTCCATAGTTTTAACTTTTAACTTATGAGATTGAAACGTGATTCCATAATTTTTGCAGCAAATTGTAATGCCAAAAATGCAATTCCGGGATAACTGTGTTCTTTTTGTTGTTCTAAAGTGAATAGATATGATCATTATACAGAACTCAAGGAAATGGTCGTTGAGAAAGTGAAGTATTTAAAAAACACTCTTTAACTATTTTTTGACGTCATTTTCTTCTTCTTCATCGTCATCTTTAGCAAAGATGGTCTTAGGCTGGGTCTCAGAGTAAGCAGGTGCAATAAACTTTGGGTCGTTAACAGCAACATCTGCGTATTTCAATATCGCTTCTCTTGGATCTTCCTCCATCCACGTCTCTTTTATCATCCCACCTTGCTGCAAAACACACGCACAACAACAAAATTTCAACACATAACAATCACTAATACGACCTGAATTGGAAAGACCCGAAGAAGATACCAAGGTGAGGCTCCTTACCTTGAGAAGATATTGTGTTAATAAGCTACTACCAGTAGTCCCAACTCTTCCACCATGACCAGGACCTGTCATGGGAAGCTCAGGCTTGTGGGCTTTAGCAGGATCCTTCAATGCCTTTTCTCTTTGTCGTTTACGGCTTGGTGGGTCTCTAAATAATGGTAATGCATGAGGATTGTGTATTACTGGTTCTGGTTGGTAATCGTCTACAGATTTCTTCCTTGGTGCACGTGCAACACATACGCATGCGCCTCTCTCGCTCTGGGTTGGGTCGTAAAGAATGTGAGTTCCTCCTTGGCTTTTGTCTCCGGATGTTGCAAATATCTACAAACAAAAGAAACCTCTTAAATGTGAAGTCTGACAAACATATTTTTTTGTCGAATAGAACACTGCTTCTATTGTTGATGTTGTTTACCTGATTCAACCTCGGGTGCCAAGCGCATTGCACCACGCTGCTAGTTGGAGAAATCCCGACTTTTTGAACAATCTCGAGTTTGGTGCGGTCGTAAAAGCAGAGCAAGCCTCCTGTCGTACTGTCTTTCTCAACGGATGTTCCAGTCAGGATGATTTGTTCATCTGGACTAAAGGCAACGTTTGTTTGGGGATAATTATTAGGGAGACCGTCAAAAGCCTTTAGAGCTTCTTTCATTAGCCGCAAATCCCAGACCTGATCAAGATCCAAGAAAGAGTTCAGTTTTTATGTCTGAGCAAACTGGTCAGAGACAGGATATGATTTAAGGTTTACCTTTAGAGAACCATCGAAACTTCTTGACAGCAGAATTCTCCCATCGCTAGAGAACTTTACAGAGGTTATATCATCAGTATGGGCCTTCCCAACGTATATATCTGGTCGGCTTCCCCATCCCGGCTTAATACTCCAAATCTGGATTGATAAACAACAAAGATATAAGTCCCCTAATCTGCCCAAGTTAAGCGTGATATAACACAAACTTTCTCTGAAAGAATATAATCAGAAGATCAGAGCAAGCCTTACCTGTATAGATCCATCGCCAACGCCACCAGCGATACGCTTTCCATCACGGTCCCAAGCACAGGTTGTCACTGGAACCCTCCCTGGTCTAGAAAGCTTCGGCTTAATAACCTGTCCAAGAAACAGTTAAATGATGCCACTTGCATGCTATAATCAAACCACAATTTTTCATTGGAGACAGATTGCAAACCAGAAACCTCAAATGCGAATCATAGACAGGGGAAAAGTACCTGCGTTTGGCTAAGGAAGTTATTAACATCCCATATACGCAAAGACCCGTCTTCCGAAGAAGTCAGAACCGTTTCCTTAGTCCTCGGATGCCATTCTCCGCAAGTCAACCCGCAAATATGGCCCTTAGTGTTCTTCAGATCACGTATATACATATCCCCTTTCATAAACTCACCAAGGGTAAGACCATCACGATCAAAAATCTGAGATTCAAAAAAGAACAAACAAATGTGAGCAATTCATAGATGATAAAGAAACGTAGAACAGAGTCAAGAGTCATGAAACATACCTTAGCTTGTGCAGAGCCAGTAACACATAGAAACTGACCAGAAGTAGGACTCCAGCTCAAGCTTCGAACTTGATGACCTTCAGATGGTTCGATCTGTCTAAAAGATTGAAGTCTAGAATTCATCCCTTGGAAATCATACATACGAACAGTGTAGTCATAGCTACCCGAAAGAACCCTAGCTCCGGCACTATCAACAGCTAGAGATGAAACAATCTGAATTCCACAAAAGAGAGTTTATATTTTTTCAATTCACAAGTTCAACAACACAATCGNAAATCCACAAAAGAGTTTAGTGGTATACCTTCGTGTGGCCCTTGAGCTGAATCTCATTGCTCAATGGGATCTTGTACCGATTCTCCTCATTGTCATAAACATCATCGTCATCCTCATCTTCATCGGAATCTATAGCNGCCGGAGGAGGAGGAGGTGGACCTATTATATCATCTTCATCATCAGAATCATTACTGTTCACGGATCCTTTTGGTGGACGCGGTGGTGGTGGTCCCATGATAACTCCATCATCTTCCTCCTCTAGCGTTGGTTTAGAC